ACATCTCACGTGACTCCATATAGTCAAAATGCAACTTGATATGGTTATACTAAGAGCATGTTTGGTAGGGATTAAAAGTCAATTAAAATTCTTTTTTTTTTATTGTTATTTCACTATTCCAATTATCATTTTTGAATTTTTTTCTCATAGAGAGGACCCACTTTATCTTTAACGATCAAAAAGTCAATTAACAAAATCTCCACCAAACAAGCATTAAAACTATCATATTCTGAATATCGTCCTGTAAATTAATTACTTATTAAAGTTCAATGCTTAGTATGGTTTTTTTTTGGGTGCAATGTCGTCTATAAATTTTAAATTTAGTGCTCGATCCTTTCAAATAAAGATTTGAGTAGATATTTATGTTTTAAATTTCTATTGAGATATTCTCAATGACTTCGTCCTTGTTTGGCTTCTATTAAAATTGTAATTTATTTATTTTTCTCTTCTTGTCAATTATAAATTTTTTAATAAATTAGTATCATACATAGTACCAAAATATTTTTTTCTTTTTAATTATAAATTTTTAAAAAATACGCTATTTCAATCATTAAAATTTCAAATTACGAGATCCAATTGAATCACTTATAAAATTTGGACCCACTAGATATCGACTTAATTAATAATGAATTCATCTCATCAGAAAAGAAGTACGGAAGTCAACCCATTTTTAGCTAGTCAACGGCCCAACACTAATAATCATATGTTTCAGCGCCAGTTTTGGCACAAATGGGTTTCGCTTCGTTAACCTAGTACGAAAAGTCACGTGCCTAGGATTCCACGCACGCTTTACACGCCACATGATTTTGGACAATAAATTAAAATGACAAAACTACCCTTCATTTTGCTTTCAAGCTTTTCTCTGTCATTTTTATTAATGTTACATTTATTATTTAACATATTTTTTAATTTTAATTTTAACTTTACAAAAAAAAGGTTGAACCTCAACCTTAAGGGCCCCCACCATCCCGTCCTTAAAGTATCGTGAGGGAGGTAAATTGCGGAATGTGCCTCAACAGGTCAGAGAACAAGAGATTGCCTGTACACTGGTGCCCACAAAGAATCCAATTTTATATCTCAGAAATCAAACTATCATGCTGCAACTGTCAGTAAAGTTGAGACTACTCCACTCCTATCATTTACACCTTTCACAAACACTTGTGATAATCTACTTATTTACTTGCCAAATCCCTCTCATTCTCTCCATTAATGCATCCAAAGTGATGAATAAAAATTTTGATCTTTAATAGATTTTAATAAAGTTGTTGAAATGTATAGTTGAAAAGTCATAAATCCAATAAAATGTGTAATTGAAATTAATTATTGACTTTAACTTACATTTTATCAACTATTTTAGTAAAATCAAATGGGTTCTAAATTAATAATACATTTTATAAAAATAACAATTTTTCAACTACTCATTACATTAATTTCTATCAAATTCTACTAAAAATCTAATTTTTTTTTTATAAAATTAAACTGGGGCTAAAAGCCATGTGGTTTCACTATTAGAGGAAGGGGATTACGAATTACTTATCGACAAGGCAATTCATGATTATTGGTGAAACTATCATTAAAAAAATAAAATAAAATAAAATTGACTGATGATATCTCTTTTTGAGGAAATTAGACAAGACTCATCCTATGAAGTCCAAATGCGTAAAGTATGCGTTCTATGGTAAAAGTCTAAACGTGCAAACCAGCATTGATGGTGAAAGTTCGTGTTTGCCATTGTCAAAAATCATGTTTTATTATTGTACTAATCAATATCAATTTTGCTACAAGTACAGAAAAAATTGACATAATTTTTACAGAGAAACACTTGACAAATTTTCATTGATTTTTGACACAACAAACACAGAAATTGTACCATATAGATGCTGCCAACATAGCACCTGTATCATTTTTGTCAATAATTCCCCGTACCTATGGAATTATTCTTTGCGCTTATAATAGGAGAAAGAAAAGAGAAAATCTAATAAAGAATTCATTTATAATTATTTTATGCTATTAAAAGGTAATCCATAAGAATTTTTTTTTTTTTAGTGAGTATGTCCAGTCAACAATATCTAGAGATTAGAATATTTGCCTATTTCAAAAATTACGTACCATGAACAATAATATCAAAAACAAATCTTCAATAATTAACTCCACTCACGAAATAAAGCAGTTATGCTATTAGCTATTCTGTTGATTCTTCTCCAAATAGGAACCACCGATTTATAAAATTGTTAAAATATTTTATCACAAAAAAAAAAAATCATAATTACAATACTTGAATGATAATATCAGCAATGGATCTTCACAACTCAGTTCGACGCATGAAATGAAGCATTTATCTATCAAAATTGAAGAACAATGCATTTACAACGGATCTTCATGACTATTGGACGTGATACACAATAATCCATATCCATAATAATTTGCGTTGTCTTTTGTCAAGCATTTATTATTGATTCTATCATATTTTGTCATAACATGCGAATTACAAGCCCCATCCTTTGAAATTTATAGTTTCAGGGACCATCTTCGAAACATTCTTTATCTCGACAAGATTAAATATAGGTTTTATCTCAATAAGATTATAAATAGATTATAAAGTGAGGACGTAATAGTTCATGCTAATTTTATGATTGAATCATTTTTGCCTTTGCTATAAATCACTAAATTACATAAAATTATGTCTACATTTTTTTTTTTTTTTTTACTGAAATAATACATTTTTCATGCTAAAGGAAGGAATGAGAAAATCTTAGAATTCCGTTTTTATTTTGTACAATTAAAAATATAATCATCATTAATTTTACTTAGCAAGTTGTCACTCAGACCCAGAGTTCATTACTAATTATGAAATTATCGTTTGTATAACCATGCAATTTATAAGTCATTCCGCCGAAAATACTGTGTTGATTTAATTAAATAAACCCTACTTATCATATTCATACTATTGGAAAATTAACAATTGGTATGGCACTTTTTTTACATGTCAAAAGGGCTATATTCAAAACATTCTTCATCTCAACAAGATTAAATATAGGTTCTATTGACCCCCGAATTTATTTGGGGTCCACGACTTTAACAAATCATGTCTTCTCTCCTCCATGTGCAATTTACATGTACACTTGGAATGCACATGTTAGAAGCCAATTGTTGAAACCTCTCGAGCAAAAGGGTAGGGGAGATCACTATTGTACGTGCTTTAACGTTCAAGTCCATTTATGGACAGGAGAATATATATGATGCAAGAGTGACATTAATGAAGAATTGCTTGAGCAGGGTTTAGATTATAGAGAGTGAATACCAAATCCTAGTTATACTAATACTGTCAAGTATTGAGTATTTATAGGCAAGAGATTTGAACTGAGACATTCTAGATGTTTTGACAAGTTATTTCATCCCACCAGTTCACTAGTCAAACTTATTGATATTACTCTATCGCATTCTAAATATCATAGGCCTACGACCCCACACATTTCTGGGCAAAAAGAGAGATTTTTTCCTAACCGACACCACATATGTTACTTCAATCACATCTCATTTGATCAACTAAAGGTTAGAATTTTTTTCATTCACCTTGAAGACAAAAGGTGATGAATCTATAGTGTAAAGTAACCTCAGAGGCATTGCACCATACTCTCAACACCTGAGAAATTGGTGATCGGTGAGGTGGTTTAATGTTTACTCGTCGCTTTGGAAGTGATGGTCGACAAGGTAAGGAATCAACATCATCACCTCGATTACAATATCCTCAAATAGGTGGCACTTCCATGGCATTTTTGCTAGACTAGCAATCACGTTGATATTCAACCATGTTAATCACTTCATCTATTAAGCACATCCCACACCATCTATAAACATTGACATCCATTGCCCTCAAATATACTGCGGTATGGAAACTTTGAAGTACATCCAGTAGATTAGGAAAGTGCTTACTAATTCTATAAGACAATGACAATATCATATCATAAAGAGTTATTTCATGGACCAGTATAGCATATTGAATCATTCACCTATTTCAAAATTAATATCAACAACGTATCTTCACAACTATATACCTCATATGCTAGCATCACAAACATCGAGTACAACATTAATAATTATTAATGGCAAATCTACTCGACCACAATTATCTATATACTCAAAAAATCGTTATATTATCTCTATCATCAATTAAATTAAATTCGAAATTTTATAAACTAAAAATGAGCTTTGCCCTAACGAGTTAACGACTGTTGACCATAAAAGTTTTACGGTGTGACAAATTCGCTACATACTTCAAAATAATTAAAATAGTCAATTATTTCAACAAGTACGGATGTTCAAGATTACATACTCTGAATAACAATGTCAACAACATATCCTCACAACTCACAATATAGAGCAATCACTGCAATTATTTACCACAAAAAACAATGTAAAAATCCAAACGACAACATCAACAACAAATTCTCACAATCAATTCGATATATAATATAAAGTTATTGCAATATTTCACTCAAAAAATAATAATAATAAACACCAATTAAAGAACCTGAATAATAGTATCAATAAAGGATGTTCACAACTCAGTCAAATACACAATATAAAGCAATTACTTCAATATTTCATCATAGCAAAAAACCACAATTATATAAATTGACCAACAATAAAATCGGATCTTCGGAACTCAACCACCGATTACACTATAAAAATAACCAAATTATTGCGATATTTTACTACTGAACGCCGATTAAAATAGATCTTCAAAACTCAACTACTAATTACACTGAGCAATTATTGTGAAATTTTACTACAGATAAAAAAAAAAAAGCATAATATTTCATTTCCATTCTTTAAATCAAACTCAAATTCTGTAATTTAGATGCAAGTTTGGCTTGATTGTATTATTAACCATAGGGAGAGTGCTCTTATTGCAAAAATTCTAACCCGCCTAACCCATGCACACTCCATCTGTGCGTATAAAGTCTGTCCTACTGTGCATTTTGTTTATTACCCCTGACTCTCTCTCTCTCTCTCTCTCTCTCTCTCTCACACATTAAAAACTCTCTATCTCTCTCTCTCTAAAACTTTCTCTCTTCTCTCTCTAAAATTTTCCTGTTTTAACGAAGCTGACTTGTCTCTCCGGCATTGACTGGTTCCAAAGCATATAACTCCGGCTATATGTATAAGAGCTATATTTAGAGATCGGTGAGTTTAACATACCTGATGAATTTTAAATTTTTTTTCCATTTTTTGTGATGCATTTTAATCTCAATTAAAAGGTTTTAATTTTGATTTTTGACTGTACACGTATCTGTGGGTGATTACATTTTTCAAAGAGAATCTCTGTAAAGATATTGTGCAATTTTATTCACCTGGGTACATTTTAATTTCCTTCATTTAAATTTGGAATTAAATCCTCCAATTCATTCTGATTCACCCGTACTATTTTTTTCTGATTTTCTGCTTTTAATTCTTTGTTTCCGTTTTCATTTCCTTTTATTAATTTTGGTACTTTTGTGAGGTGCATTTGCTAATAAGCAAAGAGAATTATCTGGGACTGTAAAACTTGGAATTCACGTGCACAGAGATGCGCACACAGGTGCAAATAAGCGCGTGTTTATAGAGAGAAAATTTTGGTTTTAGGAATGCCTTTTTTTCTCATGTAAATCTGACAAATTTGATGAAAGTGATAAAGTTGTTTTGGTATGTTCGCCAGGTAGGTTGCAGAATGCAGAATTTGGGAGTAAAAATTTTATGTATTGAGAATTAAGGTGATACGCATAGGACACTGGAATTGGGCTTACAGGAATTTTTGAGGATATGAGCCTGGGGAGGGGATTTTCCATTCCCCGGGATAAGGGAGTCATTCAGAATGGGGATCCTTGTATTCCTTTGACACCTGATAAGCCAATTCTAAAGAGATCTGAAATGCAGCCGGGAAGTACAAATTGGCAGGATCTGCTTGGAATGTACACTGGGTTTTTACAGGACGAGACCTGTAATGGGGCTCAACAGACTTTCACACGTCCTGGATTTGTAGGTCAGAATCAAGGGGAATTTAAAAATAGAGATGTTGGTCCAATTCGGGAGTTCAGAAGCTTCAATCAAAATTCTGGAAATGGTGGTTCCTATATACAAAATTTAACTCCAACTGGACTCTTAGGTCATCAGAATCATGGGCAACATAGCAATAGAGATGTTGCTCTGACTGAGAAATTTGGAAGCTTCAATCAACATGCTAGGCCCTATGTTAAACATTCAGGGAATGATATTCCTCAGAAGGTTAATTCATTGGTAGAATTACTGGGGACGAAGAATGCTGTGGTTACACCCCCTAGAGTCGAAACAGCAAACAGAAATTTTGTTGTGGACAAGACTATCCTCAGTCCACATTCTCAAGTCTTAACCAACCGGACAGGGTACAAGTACAATAGTTCTACATTCCAGCAGAACCACACTCTGTACGTAAATAAAGATGTTGGTAGTTACAGCCTACAGCAAATACCAACGGGTAAGTTAATTATTCTTAAGATAAATTTTCAATAGCTGCAATTTCAGTCATTTGACTTGTTTCTTTCAATGGCTGCCTAATTCATGCTGAAGATTTACAGATGAAGTCTTTAGTCTCAATGCTATTAAAGAATAACTTCTACAAAATTTTAAATGATTAAAGTCTTACTGTATGCAATTTCAAATAACTAAAACATCATCAAATTTTAGTATTTAGGAGAACCAAATCATTCAGCAAAACTTCGCCAGCATTTCTTGAATATCCGTAGTACATCATCTAGGAGGAAGTAATGTATTTCAATCTTCATGTGTACTAAAAACAAATAGGTTCATTTTCATGTGATCGATGACGTATATCCATTCATTTCCCGTGTTTTATGCATCCCTGTTTCACGCAATCAACATTATATCAACTGGGTGTAAAATACAAGTTCCATATTTTAATCTTCATGTGTATCCAAAAAAGATTGATTCATTTTCACGTGATCGCTGACATATGCCCATTTACTTTCACATTTTCATGCATATCTTTCACGTGATCAGTAACATCGCTCAACTTTTAAATAATTTTGGAAATTTTTTTTATGTAAATCCCAGTTTCCTATCATTACTAATTGTAGATCTTGACTTATAATTCTTATCCATAGGTGTAAGTCTAGGACGGACAAGTGTTATTGGAGTTTCACATAGACATACATATGAACCAAGATATGTTGTTACAATTTTATCATGACTTGACGATTATGATGTTGCATTTTGACAGATGGTAATTACCGATCCAATTATAATCTGAACTTACCAACACCTAGAACAGAAGCTGGTGCATCCACAAGGACAGTAAGGCTCTTCCAATTGGGACCAGTAACACCGGATCAGCAAAACAAATCAAAGAACTTCCAGCCCACTGAAGCACCACAATGGTCGATGGACAAACTCCCAATTCAAGAAAATGATGATCCAAAGAATGTAGTCTTTGCCGAGAAACAATCTAATCAATTATTGCAGAACGTTGTGGACGAATCTACAGTCATATTGAAATTGCCAAAGGAGAAGAGCATTTCTGATAATGGAAGTCATGTAATCTTATCTCGACCACCTGAAATTGTAGACAAACAATCTAATCAAACAATGCAGAACATTGTGGACGAATCTACTTCCATATTGCAATTGCCAAAGGAAAAAAATGTTTTTGATGACGGAAATTATGAAGGAATTGATCTGAACAAGACACCACAGCAGAAACCACCCAGAAGAAGAAAACATCGACCAAAAGTAGTTGTGGAAGAGAAACCCAAAAAGACACCAAAGCCTGCTACTCCAAAAAATAATAGCTCCGATGGAATTCCTTCAGGAAAAAGGAAGTATGTACGCAAAAAGGACGTTAAAACCTCCACAACTCAACTGGCTGTTGTAGTGAATGAGGTTGGAGTCTCTAACATGAACTCTGCAGCAAAATCATGCAGGAGAATGATAAACTTTGACTTGGAAAATGGAGCAGAAAAGGAAAGTGAGGCCAGAGCAATTGGTGACCTAGCAGAGATAAATGAAAAGAAAAAGATGTCTTTTTCTTTGAACTTAAATTCTCACAATGCAGAAGGGCATACAGGATTCAACGGGGAATCTACAACATCTTCAGTGAAGGAATGGCATCAAAACTTACATAACATAGAGAAACAACAAACAGAGAATTTATGCATTTTTGACAATTCAGGAAATCACACCCCGCTTCAATTATCATTGCCATTTCCAACTTCAGCACCACCGTCTACAAATCATACTTTAAATGTCATAGCAAGGAATTTGAGTATGCGAAATGCCAATACAAACCAAAGGGACAGCCTGAATTGGTACTGTCAGGTTGATCCTCATGTCGGTGGAGGACACCTACCCCAGTTTGCCATTCAAACACACACCAATGAAACAAAGGTAGATGGAAGAAGGCAACCAATGTTGCAGGCTGGGACTCAACTTCTGGACGATTTGGTGAACGTCATTGACAGGCAGCAATCCAAGAGAGAATATTCCCACACTAAGTTGTCACAGCCCGACACTTCTGCAATGATGGGCTCTCAACTATTGTACCAGAGAGTTCCTAAGACAGGCTATTATGCCAGTGAGAGCAACAGATTATGGCAAGATGGTTTAGAAACTAGTAAGAGAAAGAAGGTTGAGGATAAATTTCATGTAACCTCATCAAGCACGCCTTCTAGCATAACTGTTGAATATTGCTCAAGACAAGTTGAAGGAAGAGGCACAAATGGTTTCAGTGCAAACAAATCTACTTTGCACCTAAATGGTGGATTACCATATTCTGACTTTGAAGGACGGAGCAACTTCAGGAAGCCAAATAATGAAGCCAACAAGGTCACCCAAGATTGGTACATGAACCCCACAAATTTGCAAAATGAATTTCAGCAGCAACTGACTTCGTCTCGAGTGCATTCACATGCAGAACAAATTGTGCAGAAGGTCACTTTTCCCACTAATAAAGCCCAAAGCACCAACTCCCTTGCTGCAATTTTTTGGAATCAGGAGTCTTCATCTCAAAGAGACCCTAAAATAACTCAAGGAAATGAAATAATAAATTCTTCTATTCGTGTTTCGGTAAAAGGACAGACAGCTAGACTGAAATCATTCAATCAAGCACTCAATATGGAGAAAGTTATCGGTAAAGAGAACAAGACAAGAGGTTACAAAGGTCTCCCCAAAAACGTCATAGGTACCCATCTGTTCATCAAGTTATGCTGTCAGCATCGACTTATATTTGTTGTTTAGAAATTTTAAGCAGTTTTACTGTTTTTTGTGCAGGCTCACTAGGAGATGGCAGACATTTATTTTCAGTTGATGATATTATAGATCGTTTAAAATCTATGAGCATCAAGAGTAGTGGAAAGGAAATTTTTGGGGAGCAGCAAGGTGCACTTGTTCCGTATAAGCAAGATGGAGCCATTGTTCTGTATGAAGAATTTGATCCAATAAAAAAACGACGGCCACGACCTAAAGTAGATCTAGATCCCGAGACTAATAGACTATGGAATCTTTTGATGGGTAAGGAAGGAAGCGAAAGCACAGAAACGATGGATCAGAATAAAGAGAAGTGGTGGGAAGAAGAAAGAAAAGTATTCCGTGGACGAGTAGACTCGTTCATTGCACGGATGCATCTTGTTCAAGGTATTTGCTCCCAGATTATTAAATCGTTGACATCACTGATACCATGCTTATGCTAGCCGTATCCCAGATATCAATTTTATTACATAAATTATTTTTACATATCATGTGTAGATATTTATTAATCTTTTAATTAAATATAAAGATGCTCAATACACCTTAAGCCCCCTGTTTGTCATCCTTTAACAAATTAAATTGTTTACTATAGTAACATTCTCCACTACACATTCGCACAATAAAATAGTCTACACACAAACCAATAAAAAAAATTTAAATTTCAACCGCATATTCTCCAAAAAATACTATTCAAAACTCTATATTTTCTCCCATAATGGGAGACAAACAGGCTCTAAATTTACTTTTTCTTAAATATGTAAAGATGCTACTGTGAAACTTATATCAGGAATCTTAGGAATTAATGATCAAATTCTGTAGTAAGTAAAAAGTAACATATACAGCTAATTATTTACACGAAGTAACAAGTTTTATTATTTGAAAATCATGGTGATTTGAGGTATGTGAAGGGTGAGAGGATAGGGTAAATTGGAAAGGGCATAACGACAGTGGTGCCCATATTACTTTTAAGATAGCATTGCAAAGTAAGAGAATGGTTGTCTTTAGTGATCAAAACCTGGAAATAATCATGTGCCTCAGTCACGAGTGTCAGAGCCATAACAATGAACAATAAAAATAATAACTTCAGTATTATTAAAAATAATCTTGTCCAGGCTACATGAATTTTTTTGTTGTGAATCTCGTGATAGGTCCAATATAATCAAATATGTTGCAACACATCAAGTCATATTAATTTTTATCTACTTGTTAAACTAAACTCACATATTCTTGTGAATAGAGCATATTTAAAATGTACGTAAGCCAAGTCCTAGCCATCTAAATCATATTTCCTTTAGGGTATGTTTAATATAATATTTTAAGAATAGTGAAAAACAAAAAAAAAATAATAAATAAATAAATAATAAGAATGTGTGATTAAAAGGTTGTAAAAAGTTATGAGTCAACGTGTAAAATTATTTTATTGAGAGAGTGTAATTGAAAATAAATTTTAAAGAATCTGTACCAAACATGGTCTTAATTTATCTCCAAATAATATCTCCCATTGATGTATATCCTCATTTTTTTGGTTTTATCTATTTTCATATTGCCACATATCCATCTTAATATACTGATTTATGTTGTGCTCATCTTATTGACATTTTGTTATTTAACAATCCAACTCTTATTATCATAAGAGATAGCTAGTCCAGTATCAGTTCATAAAAGTTCTTTTTAACTCAGTAGGTATATTTGAATCAAATATAATTCATATAGTGCTTCTTCATTTTATTTTCCTTAACCTACTCCTATTCATTACATCTACTTCATTTCTTGTTTTCTTATTTGCAACCAAACCTGCATACATAAACCAACCCTTATTTGCTAGGTGATCCTCTATTGTGACTTTACCATCACGTTTATTCCTAAAAGGATTTTCCTTGCATTCCATCTTAATTCTGCTTAATTATTTATTTTTAGGAAAGCACTCTTAAAATTAGTGAACGCCATAATAATTCTATTATGTTATTTCTTGAAACCATGTAAACTGGGATTAACTTTACTTCAAATCAAACACAAGAGCTAATAAGCTTGACTTTACCTCACCAAATGCATGGATTCATGAAAAGATAACCTGGTTCCAAATGGCAACCGTTACAGGTGATAGACGATTCTCCAAATGGAAAGGATCAGTTGTCGACTCCGTGATTGGAGTTTTTCTCACGCAGAATGTTTCAGATCACCTTTCAAGGTAAAGTCAACATTTTTTTATAGAAATTTTAAGAGCCAAACAAGATGACAGAATGCTTCCCCCTTGTGTGCAGCTCTGCCTTCATGTGTCTTGCAGCCAAATTCCCCCTTAAATCGACAATTATCAGACAACCATGCTGCCAAAATGGAGGAAGTCCATCAGTGGAAGAACTTGAGGTTCAGATAACATGTCCAGATGGCACTATAACTTATGATCACGGCACAGTAAGACAGCCAGTGTACAACCACGGCTCTGTAACATCCAGTGGATCGTGTCAATACAGAGCAGGAAATGTTGTGACAGGAACAAGAACCTTTGGGATAGACAAGCAATATAGAAGAGCAGATGATGACATCATTTCATCACAAAGTTCTTCTGAATCTCTTGTTCTCCAAGCAAATGAAGATATCAGATCCAGCTCAGGATCAAATTCAGAAGCCGAAGATCAAATATCTGGGTGTAATTTAGGCAAAAACAGTGGCCCTCTAAATCTTTTGGAACAGGCTGAAAGAATGGCGGCATTACAGGAATATCAGCATCGAGTGATGGGAAGTTCATCTCCAGATAAGAAACTCTCTCAATGGGAAAATCCTGTGTATAATCTGCATCATCAGAGGCCAAGTCTACCATCCACTAATTCCTGGTCAAGCATGACGACAGGCTTGGAAGAATGGGAATCAAATTTCCTCGCATCTCCAGGAAAAGAAAGCATATCTTCTTTGGCATCAACAGATTTTGAGAATACCAAGATAACAGATGTAGAACATGCACATTATAACATAGGACAGAGTCTAGAAAGGAGTTTTCTCCCTCAACAGACTGGAAGACCAGATCTAACAACAAGACTGGAGCATACAACACAAAACAATTGCCTTGAACCACGGACTAATATAATAGCTGGTTCTCAAAGCAAAGAGGGTCAACATTCCATCAACTGCCACAGAGGAAGCCACAAGACCATTCAGCAAGAAAGCAACTTTCTATCAAACTGCACAACACCTGCTGAAGCATTCGACGAAATGTCAAGCGGTAATATCCATGAACACCCTTTCACTGGTTTACTAGACAGTTTTGTTATGCAGTTTAAAATTGTTGCATTTAATTTCCAACACTTGAATAATAAAATATCTGAACCAAATGCAGCAGGACTAGGAAATTCTAAGACCAAACCAATGAACCAGACAGGTCCCACAGCTTCAAATGCGAGAAAGACAAAAGTTGAGACGGAAAAGAAAGAAGCATTTCATTGGGATGAATTGAGAAAGCAGGCACAATTGAAGGTTGGAAAAAGAGAACGATGTGAGGAAACAATGGACTCTTTGGACTATGAAGCATTAAGAAAGGCTGATGTTCGTGAGATTTCGGAAACAATCAAGGAAAGGGGAATGAACAACATGCTAGCAGAGCGAATTAAGGTAACTAGAATGCTTGTACCATGGACTCCAATAAAACTGCTGATAGTCCATTAAAACCTAAAGGCCAGTGTAACACTGGTTGAATATTGTACAGGATTTTCTCAATCGACTGGTTGAAGACCATGGAGGAATTGACCTGGAATGGTTGAGAGACGTTCCACCAGAAAAGTCTAAGTAAGTTTCCTTGAAGAAACTAATCCTTCAATATACCCGTCTTAGGAAAGTAAATGATAGAAGACCAGGACATGTCATTCAATAACTCCGGCATCTCCAAAGTTGCACTCTTTGCCTCTGATTACATAATGTCTTGCAGAGATTATCTACTAAGCATACGAGGATTGGGGTTAAAGAGCGTGGAGTGCGTACGCCTATTAACACTTCATAACCTAGCATTCCCAGTAAGGCCATTTTCCTGTACAAATAACTTATACCCAATATAAATAATCAAATCTTGCCCTAACTAAATGTTTTCTTAGGTTGACACTAATGTTGGACGAATTGCTGTACGACTCGGGTGGGTGCCTCTCCAACCACTTCCTGAAGAACTCCAGTTGCATCTCCTTGAACTGTAAGTACATGCCAAGCAATCAACAATGAAGTTTATGAACTACCCTCGATGCTAATCTTGTTCCATGCAGGTACCCAGTGCTGGAATCTATCCAGAAATATCTTTGGCCCAGACTCTGTAAGCTGGATCAGAAAACATTGTAATTTCCTTTCTCAAAGTGTACTCATTTCAATTCGAAAATTCTCTTATTGTCGACAGTTTGAACAACAAAAATCTTTTCCCATACCTGAAGAAGTTCTACTGATTTTATATATTATGGAATTGCAGATATGAGCTACACTATCAAATGATAACATTTGGAAAGGTATGTCTTCAGTGGAGCTCACTATTATCCTCAGTACACGAGAAGTTCTTAATAAAAAATTTCTTAATTTGGGACATAGGTTTTCTGCACAAAGAAACAACCAAATTGTAATGCATGCCCAATGAGAGGAGAGTGCCGACACTTTGCTAGTGCTTTTGCAAGGTTTGCCTTCTATTACTTCATAACCTTTATGACATCAGAATGAATACACATACAAAAATATGATGAGTATATTTTGCTTGGTATAGCGCTAGACTTGCCCTCCCTGGGCCAGAAGAGAAATGTATCGTTGCATCTACTACTACTACAACTGCCAATAAAAACCCTGGTGTAACGATAAAGCCAATGGCACTACCACAACTACATGACAGTTCAGATAGAGAAACGGGGCAAAACTGTGATCCTATTATCGAGGAACCAACGACGCCAGAACCACCGTTGGAAGTGTCAGAAAGTGATATTGAGGATGCATTCTATGAGGATCCCGATGAAATCCCTACAATCAAACTCAATATAGAACAATTTGCTACGAATTTACAGAGCTTTATGCAAGACCAAAACGTGGAGACGCAAGAAGAAAGTAATTTGTCAAAAGCCCTTGTTTCTTTGCGTCCAGAATTTGCTTCAATCCCAACACCCAAACTGAAAAGTGTGAGTCGACTGCGGACAGAGCACCAAGTGTAAGTTGATGCCTTCCTATGAAATCTCAATAGGACCTGAAACTCTACAAGAAACAGTCATTTATTGAACAAAAACATGCAATTTAAGTTACTAGTTATCATGGAGTTTCACACTGGCATAAATCCATGATCCTATACATTGGACCAAGCATCTTGGACTTACAATATAGGCAGCCACCAGATTGTCGAAAACTACTTTATGATGTAGTCTGCTATTTAGAAAATAGTATTCACTCAAGAAAAGCTGAATAATTGATTCTTAATTTCTCATTTGGCTATAGATTGATAAAATAATAGAACCTAGGTACACATTTGAGGATCAGAAACCTCACCACATGATGCAACTCCCACGTTCATTCATAAATAAACCTTGCAGCCTGAGACCTGAACATGTATCTTAATTAGATTGTCATTTATGTGAATATGATAAGTTAATGCATTTTCGTTGACTGGTTACTCATTCTGCTGCAGCTATGAACTCCCAGACAATCATCCACTACTGAAAGGGGTTAGTTATTCATCTTCTCATTTTTAAATTCTATTTTCTTATATGCAACTTAATTCTAACTGGCCTAAAGTTCTTATATGTTTAGATGGAAAGGCGAGAAACTGATGATCCTAGTCCATACCTTCTTGCTATATGGACACCAGGTAAGCACTACATGATTTACTTGCTCTTAATATAGCATAAATGCCCACATAAGAAACAGAAAAGGAATTCGTCACCGTTGTATTGAAGGGAGGTTTAAAGTATTTATTAATTTCTCCTCATAAACTCAAGCGGATATATATAAATGTTTATTATAACCTACTAACCACTTATCCAAATTTGGCATAATTTAAACAGGAGAGACGGCAGATTCAATCCAACCACCTAAAAGTAAATGCAGCCATCAAGAATTAGATGGACTTTGTGATAAGAAGATGTGCTTTTCATGCAGTAGCATAAGAGAAGAACAAACACAAACAGTCAGAGGCACACTTTTGGTAAGCAACACAAACATGAAATATGTAATGAAAACCCTTAGAAGTGAGAGCAAAATTATTAGATATAATGAATCCTTCCCCCGAGCAGATTCCATGCAGAACAGCAATGAGAGGGAGTTTCCCGCTGAATGGTACTTACTTCCAAGTCAATGAGGTAATGTAGTGTAATTATATAATATTTGTGCATATAATCATGAGTTTTACCAAGCTCTAAATACTTAAAACAATCGCTCTTTAACACAACATGATTCTCATCATGCTTCCACCTATTCCTACTATGATTAAAGAACATTTATGCATTGTCTTAATTCTACTTAGCAAAGAATTTTTAGATTCCAAAGTGATCATCAAAAGTATTTTCCTGCAATTTATCCCCTTGTAGCTTGACTACTCAAAAGTCTTTCAAATTTTAATATTTTGTTAAGTTTTTATTAAGTATCATTTTAACATAAACCACTACAGCTTCTCGTTCTCCAGCTAAATCAATTTCAATTTTTTTTCTATTTTTTTATTTTTTTTGAAAGGTAAATCAATTTCAATCTTATAAAACTCTAATTTTGAATAATTTCAATAGTTTAGAGAAACAGGGATTAAAAGCTCTTACACAGGTATTTGCGGATCATGAATCTAGTCTTAATCCTATCAATGTTCCAAGAAATATGTTATGGAGCCTGCCGAGACGGACAGTTTTCTTTGGGACATCTGTCTCGACTATTTTCAAAGGTATGTAATCTCCATCTGTACTCTGACTATAACATAAAAGTAACTTACTGAAATAATACTTAATTTTGGTAGGCTTGACAACTGAAGGTATCCAATACTGTTTCTGGAAAGGTATGAACTGCTTGCAGAATTCAAATTAACTCAACTCTAATATTTGCTTTCTCCATTATTGGAACAACATTCAGCCCCCTGTACATTTAATTCATAAGAGATAGGTTTTCAGCATTCTTTTTTTGCTGATGTCCTTCAATGTCATGTCGTAGGATTTGTTTGCGTCCGAGGATTTGAGCAGAAATTGCGAGCCCCAAGACCTCTGGTTGCCAGATTGCATTACCCTGCAAGCAAGATGGCCAAGAAAAATGAGCAAAAATAAGAGGGTCAATGGTGCAGGGAGGGTTGAAAGTTTGAGGACATAACCAATAACTGTCCACGCCAGAAGAAAAAATAAGGGACTGCCGTAGGGTTAGATCTGCAACATATTGTTTTACATTCAATTGCCCACCTCTTTACATGAGTTATAGTTATTTGTAATTTAGGTGGCAGAAAGAAAATTTTAAGATATAGGATGAGATTCGATTGACAATGTGTACATCGTAGACAGTTCAGATCTTTTTAAATCATGCTCATTAACAGAGCCATTTTTCAATGTCTACAGAGAAAGGTAGGAGTCAAGAAATAGAATTTGGGATGTAATTTCATTGGGATTACATGTATGTAATAATCTTCCGAGTCTTTTGATAGAAGCCCGGAATGTGTTTTCTTATTCTTAAAGTAATTCATATGCACAGCACTATAACAGGAATCACAGGAAAGCTGAATAAACACCTTTACAATGACAAGTAAAATAACTTGTTACATGTACTTTATAACCAGATAAAACATGTTTTCTATGCTTAAAATAGCTTCGAAGTTACTTTACATGAAAATATGTAGAGATGTACCTTTCAAAAAGTAACTTTAAGTTGATTTTAGTCACCCTCAACAATGAATTCGTGATCACTGAAACAGAAAACACGGCATCTTAGACATTTTCATTGCTAACAAAACAAGTATTGACATGAAATTATCAATTCCTTGCAGGTAAGACTAAATTTTTTTTTTCAACGTTTAACATTTCTAATGTCTAGGAGATTTACCATAACGTGTAAAACCTGAAGAAAAAGAACGATAGACCGACCTTTGAGGAAATAGAAAACGCAGAAAGGTTCAAATTCAATAACACAATCTATAACAATCAACAAGCATACGTGTGAAAATAAGAAAATTTTCGATAGTAAATCCATTATCCAAATTATGAAAATATACAGTGAGTCTGCAATGAACATACTCGAGAATTTGTATGCATTTCCCCTTCCTTTCAAGCGTAAAGCACATTGGCCTGATTTGGTGTCATCCTATTTTGCTTCTACATGAGAAAAGTTGTAACAGAAAAAACACCAGAGTATTTTGATAATGATTGACACACATTCTTCATTATTTTTTTACGATTATACGAAAAAACCGCCACGGTGTATCGCATTTATTCGAATCCCGATATACATCTAAAATCACGACACGGTGAATATTGTGTGCGTAAACATATTATTGTATTTTGAAAATTGCAGATAAATATATTCAGAATTCTCGATAAATACTCAAAATCAAAGTAGAATAAAAACGCATAACTGGAATGGAATTGAGGATGATGATGATAAAGAATATTGATTAAAATTATATATTTCTAATTAAATAACATAGGAAGATTACCTGTCTGCATATGTTAAGATGGGGAGGGGAACCGAGAGAGGGGCGAAGAGGCGCGCAAAGTTTTGCCTCCATTTGTTTGAGAATTTGCCGCCCTCCTCTTTTCTTTATTGGAAAATGAGATTTTTACAAAACATAAAACAATTGTTGCTACTCCGTCCCATGACTTTGTTTCCTTGTTTTCAAAATTATAAAGTTACTTTCTTTATTGAAAGTATAAATAATTTTTAATTTTTAATATGTACTTAGGCCCCATTTGAGCCACGTTAATTTAAGAATTATAATGAAAAATATAGTCGTTACGAACCCCACATAAAAGATAGAAAATCAAATATAATGACTTAATGCGATGGATAATGGTCATATTTTCATTTTAAAAGACAAATAATGGAAAACAAACAGAGACTTAATGTACTTGTCGTTAACAAATATAAATTAATTCTATTTAAATCATTCTTATGTTCTGAACTATACTAATTATTTTATTAATTTGTGTGGAAATATAAACAATTCTATCTTTAGTGTGTGTTTCAGTCATATTAGGGGTTGTTTGAGCCCCATTTTTTTTGGAGAATGCATTTTGAAATAGTGTTGTAATGGAGAATGTGTGATTAAAAAATGATGGAAAGTTATGAATTTGCGTGTAATATTATTTTATTGAAAAATATGTGGTTGAAATGATGTCAAATTACTGTTGAAGAATGTATTTTGATGAAAAAATGGGCTCAAACAAGGGCTTAATTTGAAAAAAATGTATTTTAGAATAGTAGATTGATGGAAAATATATGATTAAAAAATGAGAAAAAGTTTTAAATATGCGTGTAATATTATTTTATTAAATAATGTGCAATTAAAAATAATGTCAAATCACTGTTTAAAAGGTATTTTTTTAAAGAATGCGACTCAAACATGCCTTTTAGTATGATCTATGAAAGTATTACAGAAGAACGTGCTCTAAATACATCAATTGAGATGTTACTGATATATTTGTTATCATCTTCTTTGAACCCCATTTTGTTAAAATGCATTCTAGAATGATATTTTTATTGAAGAATGTGTAGGTAAAATGTAAGAAAAATTTGTTGGTTTACATACAAAATTATCTTATGCAAGAATGTGTGGTTGAAAATGAGTTTTGTAAAAATGAATTTTTGAAAAAATGGGAGCCAAACGTATGCTAAAGAAAATTTCAAAATTAAGTTTTAAATATATATTAGATGTGATAGATGAGTAAGTACAAATATCACGTTAAAAATCTAGGGTTTTCTAAACGAACAGGGTCACGTAGATCCTGTCCATGTAGCAAGGCTCGAAAAAATTCATTAAAAGATGTCAAGCGATGAGATATTGCCCTTGTTTGAGCCCCATACATTTGGAAAAATTCATTTTTCAACAGTGTTTTGACATCATTTCAATCACACATTATTCAATAAAATAATATTACACGTAAATCCAAAAATTTTTCTTATTTTTTAACCACATATTTCTCATCAATACACTATTTAAAAATTCATTCTTTCCCATAATATGGGGCTCAAACAAGGGCATTATTTGTAAGGTGATATGGATTTTATTTTAAATGTATTTTTATTTTTTTTTTGTACGAGAGTTATGTTGCAATTTTTTTATATCATTTCATTATATAAAAGTAATGCGGTTGAATCTGTTCATATACAATAAAATTAGGAGGGCACTGTTTATATCCACAGTTTTTATATATACTAGTAGTATGCACATGCATTGCACGTTTTATGTATCAGACGAATAATATGCCTAATATTTTAAAGTACTAATAATGTTTTTGAAAGTAGTGGAAGTAATTAATATTACTAAATGAAAAATTAAAATTATTAAAAAATATATACGTGAATAACACATTTTATGAAATTATGTATATATCGTGAAAAGTTTAATAAATTGAAATGTAATATTTTTCATTTGAATAATATTTCTTTGTACAAAATATTTTTTGTCAACATCCTACTACTTTTCTTTTTCTTATTTTCTATCTTTAGTCTTTTATCAAGACTTTTGTTATTTGCATTGAAACTTCACCAAAAAATGTGAAATATAGTTGTCCATAAGATAATACATGTTCAGAAATGTATATTCTAATAGTGAGCATTATTTGTCCTTAAACTTTGTTAATGATAATAGTAAGTATAGATATATTGAAAATTGTTCTATCTTAAGTTTGAATAAATATCCTTCATTATTTGTCGGAGTTAATGGGATGCGCGGTTACTATTTGGCAACAATGTAGTCAGGAACTCCTCTTGATAAAATTGATTTGTATTTAGATTCTACACAAAGATAAAAATGAGAATCAAATATGAAATGAAATTACTAAAAAAAAAAATACCTTAAGGATGAAAAATTAAAATAATCAAAGGAACTGAATTGACAATAAGCAAGCATGTCAAAAAAATTACTAAATTCTATTACTACTACAAACAAAATAGCGTACTTAAATTCGTAAAATTGAATTATTATCGTTATTGCTTTATTTTGAATGGCAACTTCATATACATTACAAAATTTTTACTTTAACATAACAAAGTTCTTATCTGATCTGTTTGAATATAAATATGTCAAATTAAATTTAAAAAGTAAAGTATGTATACATATGAATATTAAAACACCAAAATGGATGCATAATTTATATTCATTAAATATATCAAAAATCACAAAATATAAAAAGTATACATCATTTAATTTGTCAAAAGCAGTGACATATTTAATCTCTTGCTTTCGTTTGCCTAAATTTAAGTAAATATATTTAACTTATTTCGATGCAATTATTATCGTTTTTGCTTTATTTTGAATGGCAACTTTATATACATTACAAAATTTTTACTTTAACATAACAAAGTTCTTATCTGATCTGTTTGAATATAAATATGTCAAATTAAATTTAAAAAGTAAAGTATGTATACATATGAATATTAAAATGCCAAAATGGATGCATAATTTATATTCATTAAATATATCAAAAATCACAAAATATAAAAAGTTATACCTCATTTAATTTGTCAAAAGCAGTGATATATTTAATCTTTTACTTTGGTTTGCCTAAATTCAAGTAAGGCCCCGTTTGGTACATATTAATGTAAGAACGAGAATGAAAAATATATTTATTACGGGCTCCACACAATAGATAGAAAGTCAAATACGATGGTTTGATGTGATGGATAATAGTCATATTTTTTATTTTAATGGACAACTAAGGGGAAATAAACGGGGGCTAAATATATTTAACTAATTTCAAATCAATACAATCTGATTAGATTTGATATTGGAGACATGTACCTCTATTTATAATAACCATGTGAAGGTCAAAAGGAAATGATAATAAAAAATATATAAAAATAATTGATACAAACTTAAAATCAAAAGCTAGTTTTCTAAATATTCTTTGCACGTAGTACAATGTAAAAAAAGAATTTATAACTTAAACGAAGTTATAAAGTCAAATTTAAGATTTTTCAGCATTTAATAATGTTAATATTTTTAGTAGTATTTATATATAATATAAATTTAATAAGCATCAATGATGCTTACAATTTTTTTAGTATATCGTAGAAAAATATTTTAATATGACGACATTAAAATTTAAAATATACACCTTTTTAGTATGATATGACTAATGTTCTATCGTTATATTTGATAAAGAAAAAAAAATTGAAATGCCTACAAGATTTTAAAATATCAATACATTTGGACAAAAATTTGTGGGTTGCGGCATAAACCTTAAACTATTTGATTATGCAATTAAATTATCTACATAGTTAATTTTTAATTATATTTTTGCGTTAAAACCAATATTCAAAATAAAATAAAATAAAAATTGGGAGACTATGCATTCAAGAGCTTTCTTAATGATTAATCATCATAATTAATTAAAAAATAAAAAATATATTTCCAATAAATTAAAGGTAACAATACTAAGTGAATGTAAATTATAGAAATGGCTATAATCAATAAAACTAATATCTCAAAAAATATTAATATTCTATGGAAAT